CTGCTGGGGTCTTCTCTCCTCCAGCACTCTTCTTGCTGGAACACCTAGGTTTTACACTAAACTTTCTGGGTATGTTGTAATGGTGCCTTGTTTGATAGGGGGAAGCTAGGGGTGTGTGTGTATATGAAAGAAAAGTAATGCACAATGCACTTCTAAGGATTCAAGCACTTGTCAGACAGGAATGAAGAATTATTTTTTTCTTTCACCCCATCCTGTCTTCTGCATTCTGCCTCTGAGTTGTAGGGAATCATGTAATTCCACTCAAGTGCTAGAAACAAACCCTCTAATGTTTGCTGTGGTTCCCTTGGTCCCTATTCTCTTGGTGTAGTTCTTCTATGTGGTGGAGAAGGGCTGGCTGATATTCTTCCAAACAACCTCCAGAGGCATGGGGTACAGTTTAAGCTAGTGAGTATGTAGGCACCAGAAGATCAGAATGCTGCTTAGTAGGCCAGAGATAGGGGAAGTGGTCCTGTCTTGGGAACTGTGGACTTGATAATGATGTTGCAGGGAGGGAGTTGGGCAATGTAGTCCCTAGCCAAGCAAACTAATACAGTTCCTAAGCAAACTATTTTCTGGAAATTATTTCATATGGGACAGGAGCTGAGACTGGTCCCTGCCACCTCATCTGCTTGGAGTGGAGCTTCTGTTTTCCACTTTAGGCTGCTTCTAATTTGAAGTGGATCTGTAGTTCAAAAAGTGATTAGCTCTAGATGAGTGGTGCTCAACCTCTGGTCCACAGGCCAAATCTTGCCCATGGGGCTGCATCATCAAGCCTGCAGGGCTCTCCATGGGTCTGGAAATTTGACAATGGGGAAATAGCGGTAGTGTTAATTGCCCCCAGAGCCATGAGAGCGCTGTCACTGCTCCCCCTCTGCCAAATTTCTGGACCTGTGGGGAGTCCCATGGCTGAATGACACAGCCCTGTGCACCAGTGTCCAGGGTGGGGTCATGTCTGGATCTGCATGGGGCTTGGCTGGCATGCTAGACTAACCCTCCATGCTGACCCCACACTGGATCCAGCCCATGGACTGACCTCACCTATGGGGTCAGTTTGCACTACCTTAGATAAGTTTACTGCTTGCCAGGTCAGCACTGAAGAGGCCACCCCTCCCTATCCTTTCCACCCCCTCCTCTTTTAGCTTTAAATAAAACTCCAAATGGAATCATCAGCCCTGTGAACAACGCCAGGTCATTACATTCTCTGCCCTGTTTGTAAAATGGGAATAGAAGTTACTGAACTCACATGGGTATTGTGAGGAACAATTGGCCACTGTTTGCCCAGAGCTTTGTGAATGAAAAGTGCATAAATACAGATTCCATTAGCAGTTCCAGACCCCATCTCTGCCCTCCACTTACACCTATTTAGACCGCATGCACTGACATGCAGAACTTACCTGCTGGCACTGTTTGTTTGCCCACACAGCTAAATTCTCAGCACTTTCTGTCTTGATGACTGCTGTATTCCTTACTTGGGCTTTTGGAAATACAATCCTGCCTGACTGGTATCCAGTCATGAAGCTCTTACAAAGATTGCTTTCTTAGCTCACCTCACTGTTCTCTTAGTGTCCCTCTTGCTTCCATTTTTCCATTGCATCTAACACAAGCTATTTGTCCTCATGCTCAAGGGCTTTTGTGACTGTTCCCACTCTATTGTCTCTCTTGTTCAGTGTGGAAAGCTTGACTGCAACCCTCTTCATCCACTTGTAAAACATTTCAGGCAATGTCCTTCATGTTTTTCCCATGCTGCCCACAAAGCCTCACTGTCCTCCTTTGAATTACTCCAGAAATCTCATTGTCACAAAGCCTACAAAAACTTGATACCCACCAGGTTGCTGGTGTGTTGTGATCACTGCCTGTCATATTGACCTATCCTTTTGCTCCCTCATCTCTCTGCCTATATTATTCTTAGTCTTTGGTCCAAAGAACTTAGTTCTTCTGTGTTTGTAGAGCACCTCACACAATGGAGCCCTGACTGCTGGATACTACCATTGCATGCTGAGGGAGCTATAGTTATGGCAAAGACTGGGAACTCTTTCTAATAATAACGCCCTGCTTGTATGCTTAGCTGAACCAGGTACAGACCTGATATGTGCCTGTGGGCTGTTCTGCATTTCTCCAGGGAGGCAGGAACTAGGGACAGACATTCAAAAAGCCCGAGCTTGAATTGATTCAGTCTTTGCAGGTTAGTCTAACCTGACTAGGCTGAACTGCTTTGAAACCAGACAGACATTCTCTCTGGACTGAGGAAATTCAGGTACATGCCTGCAGTGGCTCAGGCTAGAAGCGGGGAGTGCTAGAGCAGCCCTCCCTTCCCTTCTGCAGGGAGCTAAGCTGAGCGGGGCATGGCCAGGCCCCAGCAGATCTCTCATTAGGGAGGTCTGCCTGCAGGGTCCCAGGCTTTTCCTTACTGGCTGCTCAAGGGGCAGGAGTATTGCCAGCCTTTAGCCCTGGGCTAGCACTCTGAGGCAAATGTGAGGAAGGGAGTGGTACAGTGCATGCATCTGTTGATGATATGGAGCTTTTCAGTCTCCCTCCCTGCTTCATAATACTGTCTGCAGCAAACTGACAGGCAAGCAAGTCAGCTGGGGGCTGATAGTGATAACAGTCTTTATCACCAGATTAGCAAAACAATGGCCTCTCTGTATTACTTCTAACTTCTTAAACAGTCTACCAGCTGACCTGATGATTAGCTTCAAATAGCCTTAAGCGCTCACTGCTTTATCTGCCTGCCCCAGTGAAACTGGAGAGAGATACAGACACCTCTCAGCATTAGTTAGCATACCACATGCCTAGGGTTCATGGGGCTGGGGTCCATGCTGTGGGAGATGGGAGGGAAGGGGGATTTCCTGCTTGAGCAGTGGCCAGGTGTAGGGCAGGGGAAAGCCAGGCAGACCCTGCTGTGTCTGCAGTCTCTGCTGGAGCCTGACATAGCATTAGCTAGCATACCACATGCTGGCTATGGTCCGTGCTGTGGCAGAGAGGAGGAAGAGATCCCTGCTTAAGTAGTGAGGGGGGCAGGGGAGGGAGGCACAGGGAAGCCGGCAGACCCTGCTGTGCCTGCAAGTCTCTGCCGGAGCTCTGGCCAGGGAGCAGAGGGGAGGGTCCAGCCCTGCTGTGGAGCAGAGAGTCCTGCCTGGCCCAGAGAGCATGCTGGGATGCTGGGGGACTCTGATTTAACTTGAACCAGCAAGGGGTCTGGGACAGACATTGCACAAACCATTTTGACCCAAATCAGTTAAGTCTTATACTACATTCAGGCAGGTTTATCTCAAACTGATTTCAGCCATTTTCAAACTGGTTTATGTGCACTGAACATCTGTTCTGTTACAGGTTTAAACCAGTTTCTGATCACTTAAACAGGTTTATATGTAATGTCTGCCCCTAGCCAGGGTGTTTTTAAAATAGCATTTGGAAAAGGGATGTAACCTATGCCTAGAGAAACTGGGTTCCCAACCCACTGTACCTCAACTCAGTGATTTCAGAGCTCAATCTTAGTTTGGGATGGGCCCCCCAAAAATGGACACATCCCATGAAGATGCATGTAGTTGGTGCATAGATGGAAAGCTGAGGCAAAGAGATCGTCCAAAGAGACGTAGCTTATGCAGAAGGAACCAGCAGTGGCAGTGATCTGCTGAAACCTTCACACTATTTCTTAGTCTCCCATCCAGGAAAGGGCACGTTGGACTCTGCTTAGTTTTCTGGCATTTCCTTCCTTGACTGTTTGACAAGACCTAGGCTACTGCCATCTGCATTTGATCTCTTGCTAGCTCTGCTAATTGGGTGTGCTTACATGGAGGAAGTGCCCTATAGACCTGGCACTATGTGCCTGGGGCACAGAGGGATTTATGCCCTCCATGTGGAGCAGCTGGTTGTGAGCTTTGCTTTCCTAACCCATCTGTGAGCTAGCATGTCTGTTTGTGCTGGCTTGTGCAGGGAGCAGGGGGTACAGTGGGAGTTTTTCATGACAAAGCAAATGTGAAATTGCAGTGTTGCTTTGCTTCATGTAATGCTCCATCCTATATATGACTGGATAATTTACTGTTTTAGAAGTTCTACTTAATTATTTTTCCTAGTTTCATTTTCTCACCTGAGAGTTGGAGCTGACTGAGGTTTTTAACTAACTGCTTCTAGGAGCTTACTGTTGTGCAGCTGAAAGAAAAAAATAGTTCCAAGTCATGTCCCTCCCCTCCCCGCCCTGCCCCGCCCCAGCATTCTCTAGATGGTGAGATTGTAAATGTAGGAGTCTATTCAAGCTTGCATTTAAGATTTTTCTAAGGCCTTGTCCAGTCAGGTAAATCGACCAGAATAGCAATTGAGAAAAAGCTGTGTCACAATATCTAATCTGGAATAGCTCCCTCTGTGGATGCTTTCTTTCAGGATGTTTACTGTGTATCATTAATTAGCGTAACAAAGCTGGTGTGAGCTGAAGGTGCTGGTGTTATCCACATTTTACAGGTGAGATGCTGAGACAGGCAAATCAAGGTCTGAAGTACCAATTTCACATGGGCAATTTGAGCTGCTTAGGATTTTTCAGAGTTTAGCTTTGTCTGTAATAAAACTTCTTTGGAAGCTTTAGAAAGATCACTGGTAGCAGCTCTGTTCTATGAATGACACTTCTATCCTGTTTACTATGCCTGACCCTTGCTATATTTGCCTTCTGTGCTAAGCCATCCCTCTCCTGCTTTGTGCCACATGTAACGGGAGGATGGGCTGTGAGAATGGTTCATGAAAGCGGGCCCAGGTGATACAAACTGACATGCAGCCTGTGCAAATACCTAGTGCCTTGTTATCTTCCCTGACACACCAGGGATGCCAAATTAATAAATAATGGACAGGCAGGAAACAAAGGACCTGGGCTTGTTAATTGTTGGTTGGTATGTTGAGTACCTGTGACAGCAGTTCTCCAACTAACTGACATGATAACTGCAGCTTTATTTCACTCTGGCAAAAATGAATCCAAAGTCCATCCTGCTTATTTGTGTGTGCGCACATGCACACATACGTGCACTGAAGCAGGGTCTTGGACTCTTTCCTTCTGGTAACCTGGTGTGCAGTCTAAGGGAATATCTGGTACAGAAGGCTTTCTGCCTTAATGCCACGTGACACAAGTGGCCCCTCTCTGTGAGCAGCAGATGGGAACATTGGTGATCAGCTTCTCATTCCATTTCCACTGCTGAGGTCTTGGACAAATCACTTCACTTCTGTGCCTATTTTCTTCTCTTGTCTTATCTTGCTTACACAGCTAGTTTGGAAACTTTCAGGAGAGGCAAGCTCTTTTATGTGTGCAATGCCATGCATAGGGCCTAACCCTTGCTGGGGCCTTCACACTGATGGGATTATAAGAGGGGCTGGTGGTAGTTCTGCTTCATGAACTTGCTCAGTGCTTGCCCTTTTTAGACCCTACTTAAAGTTGCTTCTAAATTTTTGACAGTTTTTAGCAGTGCCACAGACAGATGCCTGAGTTTCCCATCTATAAAATGGGGCTGATAATCCTTCCTTTCCTCCTGCCTTATCTACCTCCCTGTAAGCTCTTCGTAGCAGGGACTATCTGTTATGATATGCTTATATAATACCTGGCTCAGCAATCCTGATGTCAGCTGAGTACAACTTCCCATGGTGCTAGGCCTATTCAGTCTAGCAGTCCATCAGGTTCTTTCTTAAATGGAGTGCCTTGTCCTTCTGGTTCCAGGTCCCTTAAATCCACCAGCTTCAGCTAGACCTATCTCCATGTTGTTTGCTTAACTGAATCCAAACTTCATAAGTTCAGAACACCACTGTCAATTTTAAGTGATGCTTTTGCTAGTCTTTTGTATGTTCTTGGTTTTCATAAATATTAATGGCCATCTCCTAGCCAATCGGAGGCAAGGAGGCATGCATGTTTACCGGTAGCTGGTCAATCTTCTACTGAGGGCTGTTTCATACAGCAGAGCTCTCATCCTGTTGTGCAAAGCAAGATTTCACAAAATCTAGAATCTCCCTGAGAACACGCTGCGCTTGGACTGGGCTTTGTCTCACCAGTGGTTCTCTTTAGTTGCCCCTAGAGTCATCTGTATGGAGCCCACACCCTGGGAGATATCTCCTGTAACAGATCAGGAGATTATGTTGACTGGCTTGGTATTTTCAAGTGTGTCTTTCTTTGAAGTTCAGCTTTCCCTTTTTTGATGGAAACTCTTCCAGTGTTCAGAGGCAAACTCCTGACTATTGACTCCTTCCCCCTTCCCTTCTGAAAATCAGAAGGGTGAGAAATTCTAATTTACTTATATGATTCCGGGTGGTAGGTCTCCCTTGAGTTTTACTATGACAGTAACTTTACAAAGGCCTTTGCCAGGCCTCAGCCCAGCCAGCCATGCTACACAAACTAGTTTAGCAAGCTAGAGATGCCAAGCCAGAAAAAGTTAAGGTCTTATAATGAAACCCAGTGATCTAGCAGTTGCTAAAAGGGCCTACAAATTAGAGGTACTGAGCACATAAAGGCTCTTACTTTGGGAGCATCTAAGCAATCTTATAAAAGCGTATACTATATCATCCCAGCAAACTAGCAGCCTTGCCCAAACTCTGAGCCTGTATGTCAGCCCATGAAGCATGAGTGACATTTATCAGCCCAGCAGCTAGAGAGCCAATGTGTTGATACCAGCCCAGCAAGCTAAGACTGCTGTCACTGTTTTATGCTTCCACCTCAGACCAGCAAACTAAAGTTGTTTAGTTAAAGACCTTATAGGAGACTGGACCTATGAGGTCTTTGGATGTGCTGTGTCAGGAATCTCAAAGCTGTGGACATCAGGCCACCAGTTGGACAGGTCTTCCTGAGACCTGAGGAAGGGTACTTTTTGCCTGAAAGCTTGTTTAACATCTTTCTCAACTATGCAGTTAGCCCAGTAAAAGAGATAATCAAAATAACCTCTTGCTTCTTCTAGTGGAAGGCAGGAGAGGTTCAGAGGATTCAGATACAAACAGCTCTTGCCCATCCTTCCTTTGTGCAAAGGTGTGTCTTCCTTCCCTCACTCTTTCTGGGACTTTACTCTTCCCTTCCTCTCACCCCTGCTGCCCCATTGCTCATTGTGAACTGTTCCTTATCCATTTGCTTCCTCTGCTTCATGTTTTTTTTCTTTCCTTCTTCCCTTAACTCCTTCCCACTCCCTAATGCATTCTCTCCTTCCCATTGCTGAGTAAGGGATCTCTCTCACTTTTGTGTTGTGCCCCCTGTCCCCACCACATGCAACATCTCATCTGAAGTAATTTTTCTATTCTCTGTAGTCTCCCTGTGAAACATCACAGGCTGGGGAGAGGCTC